AGCTATGGGCTTCAGCTCCAAGCCATATCTGAATAAAACACCACAGGGATCTTTTTTCAGCTCTGAATTTTAAATTATTAATAGGGTATCATTTTCATGACAAGTTTTCCAACAGGTTGTCAGTACTTTGTTACTAAGCATTTTCTCGTAATGGAATCACATATTTTAATGGAAATGCAGTGTCGTTTAAATTATTGATATCCAAAAGTACCAGTCCACTCTGTGTCCACAGATATTGAAATCTTTTAATTTTTTTTTCTCCTAGATGCTCTGAGCTGTTAGGTTGCATTCTTTTCAATAAATATTGCATAAGCCAGCAAACCAGCACTGATGAGGGAGCAAACCAGCATTTAGTGTAAATAGGCAGCAAGTGGAAGCTTGGTTGCAAACTGCCTCTGTTCAATTAAATGTCCCTGATCTCTGTGCACACCCTAGCAATGTTGTTATAACATTTATGCCCCTCTTCAAAATTTCACAAGAGTTCAGTTAATGGGGAGGGGGTGGTATGTGTACTTGTGAATCAAGAGACTGCAGGCCATATTTTGTTTTTACGCTGGGGTGAATCCACAACCAGTAAAGCTAACATGTTTGCATATAGTCTTTCGGTTCTCTCTTTGTACAGTACTTTGCACAGTAGGGTCCTGGTCAATGACCAAGGCTCATAGATACTACCACAATGCAAATCATTATTAGACCTGAGAGCAGAGCTTGGTCCTGTGCACTGAGTTTTGATGTAGTATCTCTGCTATGATGGGCTCTTCCATTTTCATAGTCTTTCATTTCTAGGCTCTTTTGGCATGGGGTGTTGTGTTAGTCTTTCCTGATATTCATGACTACAGGTACTCCTCACTTAACGTCATCTCGGTTAAGGTTATTTTGTTATTATGTCACTGATCTATTAGAGAGCATACTCATTTAAAGTCGCGCAATGTTCAGTTATAATGTTGTTTGGCTGTCTCCTGCTAGTAGGTAACTACTGTGATGTAATTGGATTCGTGTAACATCATTTCACTTAAAGTCGCATTTTTCAAGAACATAACTATGACATTAAGCGAGAAGTAGCTGTATGTGGCAAGCACTGACTAGACAGGAAAAGAGTACAAGACTGGCTTTGGTGTACTCTTTGGCTAGAAGCTGTAAGGCTTGTATAGTGCTGCATCTCCACTGGGTGGAGGAATAACCTAGCAGCATAGTAGGTCAGAGCCCTTTAAGATCAAATTTGTTGTGTTTGATCTGCCATCATGAGTTTCCTCACTTAAGTTTTGAAGCAAGGCTGACTTGGAGCATTCTGTGTGCGCATGTGTCTGTGTTTGTGAGTGCATTCTTTGGGATAAAACAAAAATCTCTCTCCTTCCTATACAGTGACCTCATGCACTTTTCCCACATTCTGTCAGTCACAAGAGAGGCAAGCATCACGGTTTCTGGTGAACTGCCTGATTCCCCAACAAAACTAGCTTTAGCATAAGGCCATTTAAGTTCTGGACACAAATCAAACAGTCCCTTCAATGTACTTGTTCTCACTAAAAATGTTCAATCTCCTTGTGTTTAGCTTTCAGCAGG